TATATATTACACATAAAATAACATACCACATAACAAAGCAAGATCTTAGTCAATAAGAGGAAAATTAAAAGATGAAATTAGATTTTGACAGTCAGTAAATGGCTTTTAAATAATCTAAGGAAAGAAAGACAATAAAGCAAATATCAGCTGTTACCTAAGCTCTATTACAGGCTTCCAGGTTCTGATTTCTGTTATATATATATTACAAATAAAATAACATACCACATAACAAAGCAAGATCTTAGTCAATAAGAGGAAAATTAAAAGATGAAATTAGATTTTGACAGTCAGTAAATGGCTTTTAAATAATCTAAGGAAAGAAAGACAATAAAGCAAATATCAGCTGTTACCTAAGCTCTATTACAGGCTTCCAGGTTCTGATTTCTGTTTAACAAAGCATACAAGGAAGAATTACCTGCTAACAAACTAAGTGCAGGTGTCCTTCAAATTGTATAGACCAGACGACAATAATCGCTTACAAAACTTCCATCTCATGATCTTGCTACGAGTAAATGTCTGGAACAACAGAAACAGAAGAAGATCAGAAGGCAATATTTGCACAAACTTTATTAACAACTTGTTACAGGTGGTGATGAAATAGCTAAACATAAAACAATGATGACAGATACAGCTTAAAGTTATACCAGTCAAGTGAAACTATATGAGAGAGTATATATATGAGAAACACAACAAAATACACTTGAGACTGATATTTAAATAAGAAAATAAAAGTATTAATTTGTTTTTGCGATGAATCGGTGCACATTTGTATTGATGTTTGATCTGCTCATATTCAAGTAAAATATAGAGAAATATACACCATTCAATCAAGCAAAACAATATAATCAGAGGTACACACTAGGGGTGCAATCGAGTCAAGCCGATGCGTGCTGGCTCAAGCTTGACTCATTAACGAGCTCACAAGTCGAGCTTATCAAGTTTTGAGCTCGAGCAGAATTTCAAGCTCGAGTTCGATCTTCATGATGCTCGGCTCGAGTGTGGAATCTGAACCGCAGAAGCCGGAATCGTGACACGGGCTCGGATGCGGAAGGCAGAATCGTGGGGTGGGCTCGGATGTGGAAGGCAGAATCGCGAGGCGGGCTCGTACACGTAAAGCTAAAGCGGAAATCGGAATCGCGGGGGCAGACTTGGACGTCGAAGATAGAATCACGGAAAGCTTGGGCGGGCCTCAAATGTGTAATTGGAGCTCGAACCGCAGAATCGAGCCGCTCGACGAGCTCTTTTTCAGTGGCACGAGCCGAGCTTGAGCTCGACTCGAGTTCGAGCTCAGAATTTGGCTCGCGAGTTGAGCTCAACTCGACTCGTACACACCCCTAGAATACACTATATAAAACATCCCAATTTAACAGTTATCTAAACAAAGATAGAATCTTTATGAATAATGCCAATATATTTTTAGCTAATATCATTACTATTTTAACAATCTCCCTCAGCTTTGTGCAGATATATCACACAAGTCAAACGTGCCTAAAAATTCTGAAAGCACTTGATTTGAAACAATTTTTTTGAGAGTGTATGCCAATTGAAATTCTGATCAAATTGGTCGCAACTCCACCATCATTTCATCCAACTTCTTTCTAATGAAAAATTTGTCACCTCAGTATGATCATGATGTGCCATATTATGGGTGATATCACATGCAACATTACTGTCATAAAATAGTTGGATTGATGGTTAGATATAAAACCTCATATACCTTAAAAACGTATAAAAACATTCATTTATTGTTCTACAGGATTATGCATGACTTGAGCTAAGCACATTAGCCTTCCTACAAGCCTTTGCCATCTCCCTTAATCAATCGGGACTTGGTCTAGCTAAACACAACTTCCTTCTTCTATTGGCATATTTATTGGCTGACATGCTAACATTCCAATCTAGTGTAAGAATCTAATGCATATTTTCTTTAAAATAACAATATTTCTTTATTGTATCGAGATATTTCAATCCCAAGAAAATATTTCAATGAGCCTGCATCATTCATTTTAAATCTTTGGACAAGTAATTTTGCAAAGCTTTTTTAATCAGGAACATTTACTGTAACGATCATGTCATCCACGTATACAATATAAGCACAATGATATTCCCTTGTTATTTTTTCAAAAAAAATGTGGTATGAATTGCTTTCATTATAGCCAAAAACTAGCATGGATTTTGTGAATCTTCCAAACCAAACTTTCAAAGATTGTTTTAGTCCATACCAATGGTGGAACCATGTGTTTTTCTTAATGAGGGCATATAAACTTTTAAGGCATAAATTAAATATTTAATGTGATAAACATCAAATAATTAGGGAATATTAATATATATTATAAGACATTAAAAAATTTGAGGGGGGAAGGGGATTTTTTTTTTTTTTCAATTTGCACGCCTTATGACTAAGCTTTATTTGAATTACAAATCCTGGTTAAAGATGGCTTATGGATTTCTTTGTTTGTTGGATTTACTCCTTCCTGTGGCAGTGCTCACAAAATTTCCACTCTATGGTTCTATATTAACCTATTCGGGTAGCTCATTTGCAACAAGATCCTCCTATAACGGCTCTATGTGATATGTCCTTCGAAGCAACTTTAGTGTAGTTATATTTAACTAAGTTTTATGTTAATGTGGAGCTCTCTTCCCATGGCTCTGTTCATTGGCTATACTAACGGGTCTGATGGCTTCTTTTCAAAAGATCCAATGGCTTTGACGATCCTCCAGCTAATATATATATATGGTTCTGGTTTTAGAAATTTTGCTATTATAGCATCCCTCTAAAGCTAACAAAATGAGATTTCTTCTTGATTTTGTGATTATAAATAGAGATTTAAAGTGCATATCTCGGTTAGTAAATAAAATTTATATTAGGATGCATAATTTATTCTACTTCCCATATTCAATTCATTGATTAAGCGATAGACTTGTCCAATTTCAAGATAGGTTCTTTCCTTACACAAGCATGGGCTTACTTTTTCATAAGAGTTTTGCCTTCTATTGTCTTCTTAGATTGTTTTCTATTGACTTGATAGAGTGATTCAGTTTAATCAAATTTGATGTCATTTAATTTCTAAAAAAAAAGTGATTTTCAAAACATTGGCTTTCTTGACCCTAAATTCTAGAGTAAGGCCACCAAATTTTTCGTATAAATTTATTTCCATTGTTTTTTGGCTATTTCCCCACATAGTGGGATAAAGGCTTGATGTTGTTGTTGTTGTTGTAACAAATAATTGCTAAAAATCAATAGTCTATTACCTAGAAAACTTGTGTGCTTTTGTTGCATGATTGTGAACATCTAATATTGGTTCTACATTATAAACTATAGATCCCAAGACATCTTACATCAATTATTAGCACCCATAATCTCAAATAGTTCTATAATTGAAAATCATTTTGGCTAAATCAATGCTACGCAAATTAGCAATCCACCTCAAAAGTAAAGTTCAATCCTATTTTCATGTCCATCCTTCTATTTATGAAAGGTTATCAGCATCACCGGACTTATCTAGATTCAAGTGAAGCATTGTCTGAGGACTTCAGGTGTTAAGATATTATTCAAAAACCATTTTAAACAACCTCTATATTGTCTTTTATCTATCATTTTTCCTACCTAATTATCTAACACTACTTTCATCTACTAGTCTACTAGGTGTATTTTCTACCTATTGCTGCACAAGTCCAAACCACCAAGTCTATGTTCAACAACCTTATCTTCAAAAGATGTTACTTCAACCATCCTTTAATATGATCATTCCATAATTTATTCTTCCTAATTTTGCAAAAAATCATCAAAAGATTATTATTTTTTATGCTTAGCTAAGCTGTTAACAATTTTATTACTGCCAACACTCAGATCTATATTATATTGACAAGCTAGTTTCAATTTAATATATATATATATATATATATATAACACTCCAAAAACACTTCTTCATTGTACAACCACCTAACTTCAACTCTAGAAATAATATCCTCATTTATATTTCCATCTTTTTTATAATAGATTTGAACCGTCATATCTAGGAACTATAATGCACACTTCTTATCAAAAAGGTATGCAATGTCTGATACGTATTGGACATGAAAACCATCCGACACTTCTCCGACACATGTTGGATATGTTGAAGACATCTTATTAAAAAATAATTTGTACACACGTGTCCGACACACACGTCTTAAACGTTTTATAAAAAAAAAATTAACATAATTTTTTGAACTTTAAATTTTTATTTATTAAAAATTAAAAACTAAATTTCTTATTTGTTTTCCATAGCTCCAAATCAATTGTTTGTACACAATATCCCATTCCCCAAACATTTTCATTTTCATTTAACATGATGACATTTTAAAATAATCTCAACATTAAAGTTTGATGTTGTCTTGATATTGATGCTCGACGCCAGCAATTTCTTCACCAATAATCACACCCACGTGCTGTCGACATTTCATCTTTGTCCAATGTCATCTCAACATTAACGACCGGCGTCGTCTCGACATTGACGACCGACGGTGTCTCGACATTGATGCTCGAAGCTCATTGCGCAACATCGATGCTCGAAGCTCATTACACAACATCGATACTTTTTATAACACTACTGTCTCCCCTCTCGATACTTTTTTTTTTACTCCCCTCTCGATACATGACATAACATACACGTCCGACTCTCGACATCCTGGTATTAATCATTTTAAGCACATATTATAGTTAAATGACTTATTATTTCTCAATTATTCTTGATATTTTACTTATTTAATTTCTATACACTATTCTGAAAAATATAAATTTTATAATATCGTGTCCAGCTCGTGTCCATGTCCAATATTTTCAATAATTGATGTCCCGTGTTTGTTTTGTGTCATATACGTGTCTGTGCATCATATCATATGAATCACTATATCTTCCGATAATATTGAATAATAGGTGTTTCATTATCACACCAACTAAAATTGTATATCATATAATCGATCTTTACTCAATTAATTAATTTTTTAGGTAAGAAATCCAAGGAAAGGTAAATAAATCAAACGCTATAGTCTGAATTATTCAAAGAGGTTTAATAAGTATCTGGGAAGAGTAAAAGATAAATTATAATGGTCTTTATCAATGAAATTTTATGATGAATATTTTATAAGCTTATACATTTTGGGGCAATTTCATGCGGAACACTCAAATCTAGCATATGTACAAAAACAACATCAGAGTGATGCCATCTAGAATAATACCACATAAGTTTGGAAGAACAGAACAAAACTATCTACTTACATTCTCAAAGATTTGAGAAATTGTTAGACCGGTCCAGTGGACCGGTCTAGCCGGTCCACGCGGGACCGGCCCAGACACCAAAACGGTGGAAGTTCCGCCTGGGCGGAGGCCGCTCGAGACGCGCGGCTTGCGGGATAGTTTTAGGAAGCAATTTTGAGGAAGTTTAGGAGGGAAATTGATTGTATGGACTGTTTAGGGAATTCCTTTTGAATTGTATGCATTAAATAGTTGATTTTTCTAGGGTTTGAGTATCTTG